ATAGGGTGTGGAAAAGGAAAAATATCTTTACAGTGGACAAACCTGGCAGACACCACCTTAGCCAAGTGATGAAGGCTGACATCACCAGTATCGTCCTGTTCATTGAGTGTCCTGACGAATGTGATGAGATGGACACATCACCTTTATAATATTCTTCCCCCAAATCTATAACCTCAGTCTTATGAGAAAACATCACATAAACCCAACTTGAGGGAAATTCTACAACATTCCTGACCTGTACTCTTCAAGTGTCAAGGTCATGAGACACAGAAAAAGGCTGAGCAACTGTCACTGAGATTAAGGAGACATGTTGACTAACTGCAATGTGGTCTTCTGGGTTGGATCCTGGAACAGAAAAAAGATATTTGGAGAAAAACTGGGAAATATGAATAAAGTCTTTATTTTAGTTAGTATGATTATACCAATGTTAACCTCTTAGTTTTCATAAATGTGCCATAGTTATTTAAGATGCTAACAGTAGGAGTAAGTAGGTGAAAATACACCGTGACACAGGGCTGTTGTCACAACTACTCTATAATATAAAAATATTTCAAAACTAAAAAGTTTCTTAAAAGAATCAGGGGAGTGACATGATATGTTCACATTGTAGAACAATCCCAGTGGTTTGGGGGGGAAAGAAGACTGGAAGGAGAAAAGGCCAGAAAAAGGTTCTGCTACAAAAAGTCAGAAGGAGAAGGTGGGGGCCTGATGGAAACGGGGGCAGCAGGAGAGGTCTCTAGAAGGAAACTCAGTCAGACCTGGAGACGCTTTGGATAAGGAAGTGAGGGATAGGAAGACTCAAGATAACACCCAGTTTCCAACCTCCAGGAATTAGATGGGTAATGATGCCATTCACTGAGTTGGAGAAAATGGGAGGAAGAGCAGTTTTCGGGGAAACATTAATACAATTTTAGACCAGTTCAGTTTGGAGTACATTTGAGAGACCCAAGTATCCATTAGGCAACTGGATATGTGAACCCGCAGGTCAGGAGGGAGAGCTGGCTCTAGACTGTTGTGGACAGTCTGGCATTTAAAGGGTGGTTGGGGCCAGTGAAATGACGAGATGGCCCAAGGAGAATGGATAGAGCAGAGAGAGGGCCAAGAGCACAGGCATTCTGGGGCTAGGCTAGGAGGTGGCAAGGAGACTAGAGTATGTCCAGAAAAGTGGTGACAGTGCAAGGTAATTGTCAAGAGCTGAGTCCTAGAGGCAGGCTGCCGGGCCAGCGTAATGGCTTTGCTACCTACCCAGTGTGTGACATGGGGCAAGTTATTTAATCTAAGAAGACTGTTGTCAGGATTACATGAGACACTGCAAAATTCTTAGGATAATGCTGGACTCACAGTGCTCAAAGAATGTTGGCTAATTGGAGGCAAAAGAAAACTAGAGAGTGTTCTGGAAGCTAAGGATGGTTCATAAAGAAGGGTATGCACTTCACACCCCTTAAGATAACTATTATCATCATTATTATTATTATTATTTGTTAATCTTCACCCAAGGATACTTTTTCCATTGATTTCTAGGGAGGGAGGA